CGGGACGAGGACACTGAGCGCGCACAAACTTTCCCCGGCGCGGGTGGCTCAGTGCGTGGCCGTACCCTGCCATGGCCTCCTGCGACCTGTCCCTTCTGTGCACCTCTGGCCTAGCCATCGCCACGGCGCTGCTGCTCTGGGCCGCCATCGGCAGGAGAAGGTAAAGGGGGACGGGGAGAGGGCGCTCGCTCAGCCCGGGGCTCCGCTGTCTCGGCTGTGGGGAGAGCTGCTTCCCCGCGCGATCCGGGTGAGTGGCCGGGGCTTGAGTGGCCGGGGCTGGGACCACCCCCCCTCACCTTCCCCTTCCCCTTCCCCTTCCCCCCCGGAGATACTTTTGGAAACTGTTGCTGCGAGACAGGAGCCGATCGCGAAGCAGCTCCTGCCATTTCCACGGGGCTCCCCTTTCAGAGGTGGGAGCCGTGTCGGTCTAAAGCCATCTGCCTTTCTAAGATGGGGGTTTTGCAGCGCAAACCCTGATCCCTTCTGCAGATCCCGTGCCCCCCGTCGCCTTTTTTTTTTTTTTACCGCGGATGCAGCGCCCCGTGTTGCTCGCGGGGGCTTTGTTGGTGCCCGTGGCTGCGCGGCTCGTGCCTTTCCTCACACGACTCCGTGGTACGACCCCAGCCCCCGTCCTGACCCCAGCACATGCCCTCGGGACACATGGCCTGGTGTCACCCCGCCGGCCCCAAGTGAGAGACCTGCCACAGGTCGTGTTGCAGAGCGATCCCTCGCCGAAGTGGGGGGGGGGGATGCACTTCTGCATGGTCGGGGCCCCGGGGAAGAGCCGCCTGACCACGAAAGCATGGCCCCTGCAAGAGGCGAGGGTTTGGATCCCGCGTGGCTGGGGTAGGCTCCGACAAGCTGCCAAATGCCATGCCTGTACCTGCATGTCGGAAAAATGTGGCACACGCCCAAGCGTTGGGAAAAGGCTCATCCAACATCAGCTCCGTGAATCTTCGCAACCCCCAGCCCTCACCAGAGAAGGGCATCTAAGAAACACTGGTCAGGTGCTCTGCATGTGTGTTTGGTAACTCCAATGGGATGCTTCTTATCACACCTTGCTACAGAAGCCGCATTCATCTACATGCCAGAGACAGCAGCAAATAAAGGTGACAAAAATGTAGTTACCTTTAGTTAGCACCTTGAGCGGGAGCTTTGCAAGTTACACCTACCTAGCTGAGTTATAATATTGACCCTTCCCTGTTCTTTGCCCTGGTGTGTAATGTATAATCAGAGAGGATAAGAGATCCTATGGCCTTTTCAGTTTGTCCTGTAGAACTGTAAATACATTATCATCTTTTTGAGTGAGTCACGTTGAACCAATGAAGACAATAATAACATGACCAATAAAATAGCATTTGTCTCACATTTCTTCTTTCCCTCTCTACTCTTGCGGTTTTTCTTGATTTTTACAGGTACCTGGCACATGTATGAGTGGGACATGTGTTATAGGTGTGGGGGGGGGAATTCTTCTTTTGAGAGGAAATAAAGAAACAAAATAACGTCCTCAGTATTTCTGTTTTTTGCTTTTCTATTAATATATAAAACAAATGTAAATATATAAATGACCTGACCTCTTATATTCATTTTTGGAAACTGTTAACAAGTGGTAGCAGCTTTCAAATAGTAATGCTGGAAATTGTCCTCCAGTGAATAAGTTCAGCACAGTATTGCTACAAACGTAAAGGGGGTGCTTGACCCCTAAAAGTTTGAGAACCATTGGTTTAGAGCAGTGGTGTTCAGTCTTTTTGGCTGGTGGGATGGACAGGTGGACAGCGCCCAATCCCTTTGTGGGCCGGATCTAGCAAGGCCCCATCTGGCCATGCAGAGTGTGGAGGGGGCAGCCTGGTGCCAGTCCAGCCACATGGTGAAAGGGAGCTTGGATTAGTCCCAACCTGGCTGTGCGAGGAGGGAAGGGTCATGGCATGGCCCAGCCCAGGCCTGGCTGAGTGGAGGGCAGGGGGGACATGACCTGGCCCCACAGGGGGGAAGGTGTCATGGCCTGGCTCCAATTTGGCTGTACAGCGGGAAGGCTGTGGCCTGGCTTTGGCCCACCCCATAGGACCTGGAATTTTGGCACTGGGGAGAGGTGGCATTACTGCCACTGCTGCCCGCTGCCAAATTTTTCAACCTGTGGGGATAGCCACAGGCCATATTCTAAGCATGGGTCACATTTGGCCTGCAGGCTGGAGATGGAGCACCCCTGGTTTAGAGGACCTGTTCCTTCTCTTAATAAAGGGACTGAGATTACTCCAATCTGGTTAAGTGGTCTTAACCAAGTAATCCCTGCTGCACACACATCTCCGGGCACAGTTCCACAGGGCAGCATCCTCAGGCTCCTCGGACTCATTTGGGAGGCAGTGGGCACTGGCTGGTGTGCTCCGTTTGGGATCACACTCCCATCCCAGTTTTCTCTTTCTTCCTGTTATGGGAGGATTATAGAGGCTCACTGTACCTGGGAAAACAAATTGACAGGAAGACGATAACGGGGAGAGTATATATACAGGGTTTAACTAAACTAATCTGTCCCTAGCACCTCTCCCCTTACAGCTTCCAGCATTTAGAGGCCTAGGAAATCCTCTTTATACATCATTTAGAGGTTACATAATCATTAACAGGTTTAATAGCACCTGATAAACCTGTCTGGCCTATTCTCTTTTGAAACTGCTTAAATTGTGTCAGCCTTTACAATGTCTTATAGCAATATATTCCATGTGTGTGAAAGAACTAACTCCCTTCAATTTTTTTAAAAATCTGCTTCCTAATAATTTATTTGGACCTATCTATCCTACGAGGCCCTGGAAGTAGGACTCCCTACCTTCCTCAGCAGACAAAACTGCTCTCAGGTTAACAGAATCACTGTGAATTGAACTCGTTGATATTTAGACCAGCATCTAGAACACCAATATGAGTCACTGGAAAAAGCAAATAAAAAAAAATCATCTTGCTAAATAACTGCAGTTCCCTCAATAGTGTGTCAATACATGTGTAATATCTTGCTGCATCAAAGTAAGTTTTTAAGTTTGACTTTTTCTCAAAGAGTTATGTGAGAAAATTGTGCTTGAACCTGTGAAAAAAGAGAGATGTGAGGCAGAGATGGCCAGCCATTTAGCACTGAATCAGGACTGGACACTGCTGGGACAAAGAACAAACTGTACAAAACCCCCATCTGTGGAGGCTCATATTTGTCTTTGACAAATATCTGAACAAGTCCATATTTTTTACAGCTTGTCTACATTAGAATATGTTGCTGCTTTAATTATGTTGGTGGTATAGAAATAGAGAACCCCCTCTAACATGGACTCAGTTATAACAGTATGTAAGTGCTTTTTGTCTAGTCTGTTTTATCCTGCTTCAGGAATTGCAGTGGGTTATGCTGATACACGGCACCTTATCTGTATTTGCATTTGTCGGCAAAAAAAATTGCCTGCCTAAACAACACATGCTGGTAAACCATTGAAGTGTAAGCCAGCCCTTTGATAAAGTTTTACTGAATTGCTGAAGAAATGGAGCCAATGAGTTGAATATTCTGTGAAGTCTCTAATTGGCACAATCTCTGTAGTACAGAGCATGGACTGGAATTTATATGTTTGAATGATGTCAGAAGCTTTCTCCAATAACTACGGTTCTTGGGAGTAGGTATTGCACCTTTATTTGAAGCTGCTGTACTGTTCAAAGTGGGCTGTGGAAAAAATCTTAGGAGGGAGCAATGGCCGTGTTTTAATGAGATGCTTAAGGGTATACCTAAATTAAGTCCCACCATCATCAGTGGGGCCTACAGGTGAGTTTCTATGTTTTGCTGATCCAGGATGGCTTCCTGAACCAGGATGGCTCAGTATTTGGAGGGGCCTGTTTCAAAACAGTAGTGGGTAAGATTGAAATGTTACTTAATTTAATTATTTTGCTGCTTGTTCATTTCTGTACTACTACTGGTGTGAGTCAGCCATAACAAGATTTCAGGATTAAGTAAATACACTTCATTATTAAATTATTTAAATATATTATTTGGCAACTGCATAAAAAGGAAAAGGGGGTTTCCCTTTTTATAAATATTTATCTTTTGAATGCCAGCCGCAATAATAATACAAAGAATTTTTTTTTCAGTCTTTGCCCAGGTTTAACATCACGGTGCAGAAATAGAACCAGAACAAAAGTTTTCTTAATCAGGGGAAATATTATCTTAAGTTAAACTTCATTGTCAGATAGGGTTGCCTGCCTCCTGCATGCTACAAAAAATCTATCTCTTGCTAGGTAGGAGGAAAGGCTAATTTAAAGGATGAGTTGGGAAATTTTCTTGACTCCAGAAGGAGCTCCCTTCCTCAAAAGTATTTCTAATAATAACAAAACCTGGTAGCACTTGCTAATGTATGTTTCTTTAGTGTATATTTTTAACATAATTCCAGTCTTTCTTCCCATTATTGAATTGGTGGTGTTGTTATTTCTAATTTTTTTTTCAAACGGTTTTTCTTGACCTCAGACTGTTTGTCTAAGTTAAGAGGTTAGTACAGGGATGGGCAATTATTTCAGGCAAAGGGCCACTTCCTGAGTTTTGGCAAGCCATCGAGGACCTCATGACGGGCAGCCAGGGGCAGATAAATATAAATTTTCTTAATTTTGGAGGGACCCTGTGGGCCGGATAGAATGGCCTGGTGGGCCGCATCTGGCCCCTGGGTCTCATTTTGCCCACTCCTGGGTTAGTAGCACACAGAGCCACATGTACGTTTTACTCATAGCAGTTATGTTACTGACGTCTCAGTAATAACTCTGAGATCAACAGTATTTGACCTTTAATGTAAACCTTAATCTTTCAGAGAAGTATTCTTTCTTATAGTAGGGCCTGACTTGAGGATATTTAGTACTGAGTATTGTGCTTGCTACCAAAGCTTCTTGAAAAAATTATGAATAAGAACATTAGTTGCACGATTTTCCTGAAAACTTAGTTTAAGGATATCAGTGGGTGCGTCTACATGAGATGTTGTACTGCACAGTAGTATATTTTACTGTGTAGTAAGCATGTGCATCTACACGTGCACATGCTTACTGCACAGTAAACTTCACTAATTGTGAGTAAGTTTACTATGTGCAAATGCAAGTAGCAAATTTACTTGTGTTTAGTTACTGTGCAGTAGCGCTCGTGTAGATGCCCGGCCAGGACAAAAT